ATTAATTTAATAAATTAATACAATATTACTAAAATTAATTATTTTAATAAATTAAAAATATTACTAGAATTAATTAATTTATTAAATTAATAAAATATGACTAAAATGAATTATTTTAATAAATTGATAAAATATTACTAGAATTAATAAATTTAATAAATTAATAAAATATTACTAAAATTAATTATTTTAATAAATTAATAAAATAAATGAATAAAAGAAAACAGCACCTCTCTGTTCCCACTGGTGGAACAGGAGAAAACACCTTCAGAACATCCATGTTTTGTTCTGGGAACCAAAACTTTATTTACAAAAACAATCCTTGAGAGGGAAAAAAAAAACAAAAACTCAAAACCCAAAAGGCTTTGGGAAACAAACTGAGAAAAGCCTTTCAAGCTCAGAAAATCCCCTCCAAAATTCCACCCAGAGCCATTCCCTGCGCTGCCAGGCTGTGAATTTTGTCAAATCCTTCCCCCCCAAAAAAAAAAATGTGATTTAACCACAGAGCATTTTCCTTCCGGCAGACTGGCAGACAAGGCAGTGAAGGATTATTCCACCTACCGCTCGGGGCTGCTCTTCTGGGCACTCGTGGATCTCATTTACAACATGTTCAAGGTAAGGAGAGCCCTGCAGCTCCTCTGAGCTCGGCACTTGGGATGAGTTTGGAGCAGAAATCAAAACTGGAAATTTTCAAATTCAAAAATTCCAAATTGCCTTGTGCGGTTTGGAAATGAAAGTCCCGGGATGGTTTGGGTTGGAGGGAGGTTAAAGCTCATCAGGGACAGCTCCCCAGCCCCATCCCAGCTGTTCCTCACCCTCACAGGGAAGGATTTCTTCCTTTTTGCACCTTTTAAAAGCACAAAAGGCCATGGGGAGCTGCTCTGTGTAGCCCCTGCAGTTCTGCAGCTGAAGAATTGAGAATTTCCCAGCTGGCAGCACTCCTGTGTTGGGTACTGGCTCATTTTCCCTGGGTTTTGGGGTTCATTCGGGTTTTGGATTTTTGATTTCATTTCATTTTTGGATTTTGGGGTTTTTGGGGTTTTTTTTTATTTTTTGGGGATTTTTTGGGAATTTTTTTTTTAATTTTTTGGGCAATTTTTGGGGTTTTTTTGGGTCATTCCAAAGCCTCCAAAAACCCAAATAATCCCCCAATTAATGGGGTTCATTCCAGGGAAATGGTTGGGTGAGGAAAAACCTGCAGCTCCCACTGAGGTTTCAATCCTCAGGGTGAAAAAACACCTGGGAGCTTGTTTCATTCTGTTAAAAAAAATAAAATTATCACAAGGTTGCACTCGGGGAATTGTTTCCTCTGCTGGTTGTTTGCAAGAGGCAAATCCAGCAGTGGGAGGAGGCACCAGATTTTGCAGTAACTTCACGAATTTTTGAATAAAACAATTATTTTGGGGCTGATTTGGTGTCTGTCCCCTGGCAGAAGGTGCCTACCAGTAACACAGAGGGAGGCTGGTCCTTCTCTCTGGCCGAGTTCATCCGACACAACGACATGCCGATCCACGAGGCTGCAGACAAGGCCCTGAAAACCTTCCAGGAGGAATTCATGCCAGTGGAAACGTTCTCTGAGTTCCTGGATGTGGCTGGTGAGTGTTTGCTTGTCCTTTTATAGGCTGGCAGCAGCTGTGTGACGCCGCTGCAGCTGCTGGGGAGGGCTCAGCACGGCCTGAGCTGTCCCAAAAGTGCTGGGACACTCACCTGGGTAGGAGAAAACTCCCCCAAAAAGAAGTGTTTGAGGGTTTTTGGTTGGATGCTGATGGACAGATGTGAGCAGAGACAGCAGTTGGGTGCACCCAGAGTTGTTCCTCAATGATTTTGGTGCTTCAGGAATCTGCAGATGTTGAAAACCTGCAGCTGCTCTTCCTTCTCCCAAAATCTGTGCCCCAGGCCAGGCTCTCACTGCCCGCCACAGGGAGCAGAGCTGGGTGCCCAAGAGCTGCTCCATTTCATCGAATGTCCCACTAAATTCACATTTCAGCCTCTGCTCGTGCCCTGAAACACCCCTGCAGCCATCAGTGGCCCAGCACAAATCCCTGCTGGGGGCAGGACAGCCTGCTGGGGCTGACTCTGGTCTCTCTCCTTCTGTTCCAAGGACTCTTGTCAGAAATCAATGACCCCGACAGCTTCCTCAAGGATCTCCTCAACTCCATCCCCTGAGCTGCCAGCACGGAGAGCCTTTGGCCAGAGCCTCCATCGCTTGCCTTCCACCCCTCTGTGTCCCTCCTCGTGCAGTCTGGCCCTTCCCTGAGGAGTGCTGCAGGTTTTGGTTTTTTGGTTTATTTTTTTTTGTTGGAATTTTTGTTTTGTTTCCCTTTTTTTTGGTTTTTTTTTTAATTTTTATTTTCTACAATTTTTTTTTTTTTTTTTCTTCTCCACGGAGTGATTTGGAAATTTAAGATTTGTTTTATCTCGTGTTTTCAGCGCTTCTATCTGTAAAGCCTTGTGCATTCAAGCTGTTTGAAAGAACTTGTACAGAGAGGAACCCAAAGCAGTAAATCTTAACGCTTTAGTGTGCAGCTCTTTGAAGTTAAATAAACCGAACAAATGGGGAAGCTGGGCTGGACTGGTGCTTGGGGGAGGCTGGAGCCTGGTGCTGGGGTGTTCCTGCTCCTGCTCAGAGCTGCTGCTCTGGCCTGGGGCTCTGCAGGGACATTTCCCCCTTTTCTTCATTCCTTGGGGGCTCTGCAAGAACATTTCCTCCTTTCCTTCCTTCCTCAGGGCTCTGCAGGGACATTTCCTCCTTTTCTTCCTTCCCTGGGGGCTCTGCAGGGACATTTCCCCCTTCATTCCTGGGAGGTTCTGCAGGGACATTTCCTCCTTTCCTTCATTCCTCAGGGGCTCTGCAGGGATATTTCCTCCTCCCTTCCTTCCCTGGGGCTCTGCAGGGACATTTCCCCCTTTTCTTCATTCCTTGGGGCTCTGCAGGGACATTTCCTCCTTTCCTTCCTTCCTGGGAGGTTCTGCAGGGACATTTCCCCCTTTCCTTCATTCCTTGGGTTCTACAAGGACATTTCCTCCTCTCCTTCCCTCCCTGGGCTTGTACAAGGACATTTTCCTCTTCCTTCCTTGGGGCTCTACAAGGACATTTCCCCTTTTCCTTCCCTCTCTGGGGGTTCTACAAGGACATTTCCTCCTCTCCTTCCTTCCTGGGAGGTTCTGCAAGAACATTTCCTCCTTTCCTTCATTCCTTGGGGCTCTGCAGGGACATTTCCTCCTTTCCTTCCTTCCCTGGGGGTTCTACAAGAACATTTCCCTCTTTCCTTCATTCCTTGGGTTCTACAAGGACATTTCCCCTTTTCCTTCCCTCCTGGGGCTCTGCAGGGACATTTCCTCCTTTCCTTCCTTCCTGGGAGGTTCTGCAGGGACATTTCCCCCTTTCCTTCATTCCCTGGGGCTCTGCAGGGACATTTCCCCGTTTTCTTCATTCCTCAGGGCTCTGCAGGGACATTTCCTCCTCTCCTTCCCTTCCTGGGCTTGTACAAGGACATTTTCCTCTTCCTTCCCTGTGGCTCTGCAGGGACATTTCCCTTTTCCTTCCCTCTCTGGGGGTTCTACAAGGACATTTCCCCCTTTCCTTCATTCCTTGGGGTTCTGCAGGTAGAAAATGCAGGAATTTGGAGGATAAAGGCGGTGCAGGCAGTGCCTGCCCAGGGCACGGGGGGGTTTAGGGATAAACTGGGGCTGAGGAGGAGCTGGGATCATCCTGATGGAGCTCCCTGGAGGGACAACAACAACAACAACCCCAGGAGATGCAGACAGGGAACAAAAACCTGCTGGAAAGGTTCAGCTGCTCCAGGCCACGCAG